TTTCGTAAGTAAGAAGGAACAACTAAATTTGTTGTTAAATACGTTAAAGCTGTACGCAATTTTGGACATTTAAAACCTGACACTGATAAAATAAAAAAAAAAAAAAAAAAAAAAAAAAAAAAAAAAAAACAAACAAACAAATTAAGCAACGGAGATGTATATCCTGCGCGAAGATCAATTTCGAGTTTCGAGTTCCGGTCGATAATGTACCAATGACAGAGACATAAGAAAGCAGGATTGTACGTTTCTTTCGCAACGCAGTGCCTCATGGGCGGATGGTGGAACGAGTATAGTATCCGCTGCCAACCGGTGGACTATTCCAACAGCCCCTCCGCGATAAGGGTAAGTGCCTGATCAACGCGTCTACTATCCAGCTGGACTCCTGAACAAAACACGACTCCAAATTGAATTTTTCAATGAGACAACAATAATTCTTACAGAAACTAAATCGATGAAAAAAATTGTTTCACATTTATTTATGTCTGTAAATAAAATCTCGACAGATACAGATTATCATCGAAATGAGGATCGTTTGCTGACACGAGGTCCGGATCCCATTGCGTAAAAAAAAAAAAAAGCAGAGATCCTTTTGGAGAAGGAGCTTGCTGCAAAGGGTGAAAATGCGGAAGCACGTAGAAGAAGCTTCTCATATGCTTTCTTTTCTCTGGTTTTGATATTCGCTGAATTTCCGCGAATTTATTTCTTCGGAATTCAATTTTTTTCTAACACTTATAAAAAAGTTCACTTTCGTTTTCACTGAGGACGCGCGACATCGTTCAACGCGTACATTTCGATGAGCGCGTATAGTAAAAATTGAGACGTAGAGAGAAGAGAGTAAGCAGATATTAGGCTTATGCAATATATTGTGGTTGTAGTTTGTAGAGTAGTATGTATTCCGCCTTTATTCTTTCATTGTTTACTGTACTTTCTTTATTGATCGGCGAATGGCCTCTGGACGAATGTGGTTGCAGATAGGAATGTCCGGATGGCTGACCGGAGATTATTCTCTAAGATGTCAACCTGTAGACTACAGCAATAGACCCGATGTATTAAGGGTGGGTGATGTTTTAACAATCCTATCTTTTGTATGCAAACAGAGTAGCTGTAATTTTTCAGAATCAATTTTGATCGAGATTTTCTTCGTCTTCTCTCGGTTGCGAGCAACGGATTCGAGAAGCGATATTGTTATTTCGATCGAAAAATCGACTCTGAAAATTTACGCAATAAAACAACGCACGCGGTTCGATTTCTGTATATCTGCACACACGTACACGCAAAATATATATGCATTATTAACAAAGCTAGAAAGATGTTTAACCTGACCATGTAGTAAAATCAGCCTGTGTAATTGACATTATTTAACGTGCATGTAGTAAAAAAAAAAAAAAAACACTTTATCTTGTACAAACGAGCGTACTAAAAAATGTGATATTACAAAATGTCTGTCATAAATGTGCACATTACTAATTAATTGTTAATCACTGCATGCACACACATTGCAAGACGCACTTTGACGGTAACGACAGTTTGTGTTTTTAAAATTTTGTTTTCTGACTTGAGCACACATCTACTGTGACATAATATACTGATGTTTTCGCGTGAAGATTTTGGACACATCCGAGTATATTTCAACGTTCTAATGAATGTGTTTCTTTTTTTCTTATTTATTTCACTATTTTAATATAAAATTACGATTATGTGTTTGTATATCGTTTGAAGAAATTTTTGTTCCGTTTCTCTTTTTTTTTTTGTGAGTTGTTTGAAAAAACCTTGTTCTGTTTCTTGTTTTGGTTTTTTGTTTTGTTTTTGGTGTTTTGTTGTTGGTAAACAACGCGCACTTCTCTATCTACTTTCTAAGTGAATTCAAAAGTTTTTTGCTTTCAATTTTGAATTTTTTTTCACTTTTTTACTTAAAATTTTGAATTTATTTCATACAGTTTTGTGAAAGTATCTCTCTGATGAGACATGGTGAATTTAAAAACAGGAGAAATTCTGATCTTCGATAATCGCGGAAGAAAAGAGACGTTTGACATAAGATTTGCTCGCAGTAAAGTCAAAAAGGAGTTGTTTTTAAATTTTCTAAAAATATCAATTTTTTTTTTTTTTATCAGAAAAAATACGCAATTAAGATGTTTCTTTCTAATCGATGTTTTAAAACGCAGATGGTCCACGCAAGCTGGTGGTATTACTTCTCGAAATTTACTGAATTTATGGACACGGTATGTAAACAACGAGCTGATACCCCGATATTCGATTGCATCTCATTGAGCTGACTAAGCGCTCTTTTTTTTCAGGTCTTCTTTGTACTGAGGAAAAAGAACAATCACGTGTCTACGCTGCATGTGATCCATCACGGATGTATGCCAATGTCGGTCTGGTTCGGTGTCAAATTCACACCTGGTGAGTAAAACTTCCGTTATGCAATTAGTTACGTGTTCATACGTTGCAAATAAATTTCAATGATTTTGCAAAATCGTTTTGTGTCAATGTTATCGGCGATGTTTTGTTTATCGATAGTGTTAACTTTAAAACCGTGTGTAAACAAGTCGTGCAACGCGTGAGAAACGCGGCGCTGCGAAGTTTCTTAAAAGAACACTCCCGAGCGATCACGAATTTATATTTCTCGTTAAGAGATTAATTACTTAAAAATTTTTTATAACATTTACGTGACGTTTATAAGAAATTATAATTATTATTCCGAGCAGTTGTGGTTTATAATTAACCCTAATTTTGTAAACCCCAAACATTAATATCGAGCAATTCTTGAAAATGAGAAAATCTTATTAACTTATTTAGTGGAAGATTTTCGAAAAAATAAAAACAGTGAAAGATTTTCTACAAAATAAAAATACACGTCAAAACTAATATTATTTCCTCAATATATAGAATCTTCAATAAAGCCTTATAAAAATTTTAGTTTTTTCTAACGTTTTAACTAATAAAAAATCGCATCAGACATAAATGTTTTGGGATACCTAAAAACAAAACGTTTACAGAATTAGAATTAAAAAAGTTATTAGATCTTTGATGATTCTTTAAGGTGGCCACTCGACCTTCTTCGGTTTACTGAACACCTTTGTTCACATCGTGATGTACACGTATTATCTTTTGGCGGCGATGGGTCCAAAGGTGCAGCCGTATCTCTGGTGGAAGAAATATCTCACCGCCTTCCAGATGCTGCAGTTCATCGCCATCATGATCCATGCGTTCCAGTTACTCTTCATCGAGTGCAACTATCCGAAGGCGTTCGTCTGGTGGATCGGTTTGCACGCCGTGATGTTCTTCTTTTTGTTCAAGGAGTTCTACCAACAGAGTTATCAAGACAGAAAACCCAGGAAACCGCATGGCGACGCTGTGGTGACGAACGGCGTCGTCAACGGGAATGACGACCAGTCGAAGCGCAAGCACGCGAATGGTAGCGTTAATAACGTCGCGAACGGTGCTGTCGCAAATGGTTTTTCACCGAGAAGAAGGGATGCCGCGGATTATTACGTGAAAGGCGAAAGCCTAGCGACAGAGCTCAATCTCCGAAAGACGTTTTCGGCAAACCTTGAGTGACCTTCGAGCTGAGCGCCTTAGCCTAGTCGACCTTTTGCTGCGACGTCGTGTTTCTTCTTACCGCGTAATCGCCGAAAAAAAAAAAAAAAAATCAGCGAGCTTTCTTCTTTCATGGTTCGTTTGTTCTCTTCTCTCCGTTATTCTATTTTTGATCTGTCGTTCATTATTTTCTGTCATTCAAAGAACGAAGAAAGCTCCCAACGTCAATCAACGCATCCACATAAAAAACAAATGCGGAACATTTGTATAAAAATTTGTATAAAAATTTAAGTCTTTCGTCTCTGTGGCACACAGTATAATACGTGGATGTTCTACGTGCGCGACAACTGCCCAGCTAGCTCTCGTTAGCTCTCGTTAACTTCGACTCACAAAGTTGTTGTTAGAGCTGAGCAGTCGCGTGTGATCGGCGAATGACGCGGAAGGACACTGAGACAGAGATCGTGTCCTGGTGTTCCTACGTAAAAAAAAAAAAAAGAAAAAGAAAAAAGCGAGCAATTTGTTTTGAGTTGAAGGAGGGAATTGGGTCGCGAAGCGTAAAACCCGGTGAGACAAAAACAATTCTGCGAGTTTTGGAAGTCTGACCGCACAATGTAACGATTTCTTTTAGCACAAACAAGGAGAATCTCTGTTTACGTAGATCACGCGAAAGAAAGAGAATTGTTTTGCGTTTGGAAATTGTTGTCAGTCATTGTAATCTTTGTACAGATATTCGCGATAAATGCACATCGTTCGCTGAGAATTTTCTGCGCGGAATAAATAATAGAAATTGTCTCTTCTCTAATAATCCTAGATAGATATTTCTCAATTGAATCGTTGCAACAATATTTCCTACTTGTTTTCACAATATTAAAACAAAAAATGTAATTAAAAATATTTGGATATTTTCGGATCTTTTCTTTGTTTTGAAAAATGTTTTTTTGCTGAAAATTAACTTTACCGAAAAGATTAAACACACACACACACACACATATTTGCTGACTAATAATAGAAAATAAACTCAGTAGACTTTCAATGAAAATTCGTCGTGCCGGTCATTCGCCAGCGCGTTAAATTTAAAGAAATTAAGAAGATGTGGAAATAACAGTAAATCTGAACAAGCGTTCTAATATTCACTGCCAGTACTGAAAATCTACAGTGCCTACACATGTGACGTGAAATACAGATTTTTCGTACTGTCAGTGAATATCGGAATGCAGCCACAATAGTTTTTCGGCGCTTTACGATTATGTAATTAATCGCGAGATCTTTTCGTTTGCGAGATATATTTCCGGCCGCGTTAACCTCGTTGATCTTGATCGAATTGCGAACGGACCTCGCAAGATTTTCAAATTATGTAATCTCAATCTAGAAGATTCGAGTCGCATAGATCGGTTTAGTACGCAGGCGTATAGTACATTCAAAAAAAGTCACGGTAGCTAACCAAGCGTTTTTAGTTTTATTTGCAACATTAAATCTCGATCACTGTTTTAGCAAAGTTTATCAACGTTTTGCTCTCTGAAAGTTTATATTAGAAAAAACTTATTAAAGCTGTATTTTTGCAAGTTTTAAACGTTTTATACATACATAATGAAGAAATCATATCTATGTGTAAATTTAAAACGGCTTGTAACAACAAACCACATCGAATCACACACACACATACACACAAGTTCAATTTGCCCAAGTCGTTCAAGAAAGAAATCTCCAATTTGGTCAAGATTTTAAATGTCAATAACCGTAGGAATAACTGGGATGTGATTGCGTCAACGTGTCTTGAGATATAGACACAGGTGTGCCTTTGCTCAATATACTTAAAGCTCAAAAAAAAAAAAAAAAAAAAAAAATTATCGGTTCGACAATGCCAGTAACCGACACCTCTGTGATCGTGTACGTCGACTTGCGAGAGGAATTCGACCATCTTCTATTTTTTTTTTTTTTTTTTGTTTCTCACACGCAGCTCCAACTGCCACGCCGATTTCTAGGTGTCGCAATGTCTTCGATCGCGGATGTCCGATGTTCGTCGCGGATCACTCGCTGTCTCGGTTGTTATTTAACGCATGTTTAAACGCGCGAAGCATACGGGATCTTTTGTTCGCGATTATTCGGCTCTTGGACGAACTGAACAGCGAGAGAATCTCTTTAAAACGTTTTTTTTTCAGCTGAACTTATAAGTACGGTAGTGTAGATAATATATATATATATGTAAGAAGACGGAAGGAGAAAGCAACGCGTTTTCTCCGTATAATTGATTTATATAAGTTTTATGTAATTTAAATTAATTAATTTTATCGCAAAGGGTGCTTTTAATTAAAATTGATGAAGTGAAAACAATAATGAAAGAGTCGGAACGACAAATGCATCTCGCTTGCTTCACACGTAAATTATATACAAAGCGTCTTTGTACATACATAGATAAGTTAGTTTTGTATATCACATTAAAGTGAATAGCTCGAGGTGTGACGGTCGCACTCTGCGCCGTATCGGGATAAAAAAAAAAAAACAAAAAAAAACCAAAAAAATTAATTCAATTCAGGAGTATAATGCCACAATATTTATATATATAAATTCACACACACATACACACACACACACACACACACACACACACACGTGTGCATGTATGTATAAGAGAGTGAAATCTACACGCACAACCATCGCATCGGGTGAGAAGTTTTATAGTTGCGGCTACGTACATAAGAAGAAAAAGAAAGCATCAACAATTGTCTTAAATTTTCGTGTATTCTTGATACATTTCTTGCGCGTTCCGATTTGCAATTAGCTCGCCCTTGATTTTTTGAACGCTTTCTGATCTTTTGTAAATCGAGCAACAATGTAGATTATAACATATATAATTGAAGAGCTTGTTTACGAATGTAGTTTGTTATAATCCAAATTTCTTTCTTCGTGAATACAAACAGAATAAAATTCGGGTATTTATTGACTAAATCTTTTAGACACGTGTCATTTGTTAATATCAAACGAAGATATAAAGTTGACACGATTGACACATATAAGCAAATTGTAAAGACTAGAAATAATAACAAATTAAGATCGAAATAAGCGTCGAAACTCTGAATTGAATAATAATTGAATAAACCTTTTTTTTTTATTGCAATCATAATTTACAATAATTTATATAAGTGTATTTTTGCAACGTGTACTATACAAAAGTGTTCATGCAAATTGCGAAAGTGCGCAAATATCATTGGAAATGAATTTTATTGAACTCAGCCAAACTAGTAATAGCCACGTATAAGACAAATACATCTTAAAAACAAAAAAAAAACAAAATGGAAAAATATAATCCGACAAATTTGTTGTTTTCTCACTTGGTCGAGAACTTGAAGTTATTTTGTTGCAAGTAGCTCGCCAAAGTGAGATGCCGAAAATTAAATTTTGTGAGCATGCACTTCGAGTGATAGGGGTGACTGAAAATTCTGCCAAAAGTGCTCTTATAATAAATCGAAAAAAAAAAATTTGTACATCGTACACACATTGCAATTGAAATTTACTAAATACACGATTATAATGTACATTACGTATTTTTGTGAAGAAATATATAAGTTCAATTTACTATATGAGTGCGTATGTATTTTTAATATAAATCCTTATGTTCCTTCTGTATATACACATGAAAACACAATCTGATATTTTATATTATGTCGCAATCAGAATTCTTTTTTATAACTTTCCTTTTTTTATTGCAATTTTTATATAAATTTTCTTATAATTTTTGTTTATATAAAAATAACATACTAAAAGTAACATACTAAAACTACTACGCGCGTACATTTTCGAAAATATAAAATAACTTATCATTATTTACTACTTTGTAACATACATAATAACAAATGGTAACGTTTCAACCAATCATTAAAAGACACACCGTCCACGGTTGTTTCGTTGAGTGCCATTGCCTTTTGAACGTCTTGATTCGTCCAAGCGTGTAAGATCGCGTTGTATCGTTCGATCTCTTGGCGCGCCTGATCGCAAGCCATTTTAGAAAGATTCAAGAGCTCCAGGGTATTGTAATCACATTTTTCTCGTGAAAACGCTACTAATTTATCCGTGTGCTCTGCATCCTCTGTTACTACAGAACATTGCTTTGTATAAATTAAATTGGCCATTACATTCTTAAAACATTCTATAAGACAGTACAGTGGCATCTGTATCATCGGAAAATAAGGCTTGATCCTCGAACATTGCGGATTTATTGTGGCGATAGAGGCATTGTTGATACCGCAAATTGCGTGTCTATACGGTCTCGCATCTCCTTTCAACATTACTTTTCGCAAAGCATTGAGATCCAAATTGTTGTAAAAAATGTCTAGTTCAATCTCCAACGCGTTATTGATGCAATTTGCATCGTAAGGTTCGGCTAGCAACGCAACAATTTTCTGCAACTCGTGATGCAACTTCTCCTTCACCTTGTTTATGAGCGATGCCGCCAAAGTCAAAACAGCTATCGACTGTTGAATACTCTTGACATATTTGTCCTGTAACATTCAAAATTAGTATCTACAACAAGCAAAAAAAAAAAAAAAATAAAAAAAAATAAAACAACAACAACAAAACATACTATTTGCGCATCGATCGTCTTTATATTAGCTGTTAACTGAGCTATATCGCAACTGAGCGAAGAATTGTTCTGGATATCGTCCTTCAACTTTTGAATTTCACTTTGTAGACATGCTTGTTCGGTTTCTAATTTTGTTACTTCCAACGTTAATGACAGCCATGTGCTCACATCTTGATCAGAGGCCGACTACAATATAAAGATATGCATTACTTTTTGTTCATATATTCTTTGTTAATTATGTCTTTTTTAACTTGAAGTTTTTTCCTTAAAAAACAATCCTGTACGTACCTCTATTAATTCTATGTATTTAATTAAATGTTGCTTGTCTATATCAGTTTTAGCATTATATGATGCTCGTTTCAACATCATACACATGTATTGCCCACAAGCTTTTGCAATACCAATGTCTATATTTTCGCCCACTATACTTAAGCTATTACAATTTTCATTTGTATTTCCATTATCCAGTTTCATTAATGTATCTAAGTCTTGAGTTAGTGCTTGATACAAATGTGTCCACAATGTGTACGTGTCGATATCACCAAGAGAACTTGATATCTTCCTCCACACCTATTATTATAAAATATAAAGTATAAAATATAATATTTCATAATATGGACACACACATTTTGTAGAAATAATATACTAAAATGTTATTGTATTATTTTTCACGTTAATACTATTATGCAGAAAGAGAAAAATAATGTTAATTAAATTATTTTATACAAAAATATTGTATGTATATAAAATATTAACTTGTTTTTTATCACCAGTTGAACGCAAGCTTGCTGTAACATCCAGATTTTCCCTCAATTTTTGTTGATCCATGTCTTTACAAGTATTCGGCATTAAATGCGAACACACTTGCCTTATGTTTTTATAATCTTTCCATTCCTTGTTGAGTTCTTTGTATTTCAATTTCAGAAGATCATTTTTAATACTGACTTGTGAACATTTGTTTTTTATGTCCTTCAATCTTTGCACTGAAAAAATTCATGTTATGAATTGCTTACAGTTGCAACAAAATACTTGTTGAATTAATTTGAAACTTGTATTTTACTCTTTTCTCTGACAACATAATCCTGTTCTTCGTATTCCTGTTCCATTGTAGCTATCTGTTGTTTTAGTACACTACTTTTGGATCTTAATCGATTCAAGTCTTTCACAGATGTGATTGTGGAATCCTTGATGCCATGTCTCAGCTTGTACAGCAAAATGTTCTTTTTGATTGTACGTATTTCTTCCACAGGAAATGCAGAATTAGAAATGTCCTCCCATAAAAATTCAAGTACTCCTTTGCATAATCTAATGAAAAAAAATGACATTGACAGAGAGAGAGAGAGAGAAACATCAACAGATAAGAGACATTAACAGGAAGAACGTGAACTGAATATAAAAAACAAATAAGATAAAGAACAAACGTTTTCTTTATTGCGGTATTGAGCACTGTCGGTGGACACTCGAGTCGGCGGGCCCACGTAAAGTTATCCATAACCTTGAAATTTTATGTTCCTTGAGCAAAAAACTAAAACTAAAAAACTTATCGCAATAAATATTTAAACAATTTAACATACTTTAGTTTAACAATAAAATGCAAAAATAAACATCTCTTACGACTAAAACTTTTCAGCGAAGGACACAAAGAACTGTAACGTCTTTATATGTGTCTTTTATTTTGAATAAATTGAATTCGTTTAAAGCCCGTTCTAAGCTGCGTTCCGTTTCACGCATATGCGCGCATTTATCTATACTATACGTGACGTGTACTAGGCTGCGGTCCGTTTCATGCTTAAGCGCACATTTATCTATAGTATACGTGACATATACTACAGATAAATGCGCGATTAAGCATGAAACGGACCGCAGCCCTATAGACACATGCGCGCATATGCGTGAAACGAAAAGTCTGTTCTACATTGGGTGCGTTCAGACAACTCAACAGTTGCACAACGGTTGAGAGATAATCACTTCTGATTGGATCATACTTTTGGAACCGTAGCAGATTTTGAAGAATAGTCCTATCGTAAGTGATGATCTCTCAACCGTTGAGTTGTCTGAACGCACCCATTGATCGCAAATGCAAGAAACTGGTCTGGTAGAATTGACTAATCGTATTGATCAAATCAGCCAATTGACCAGCGTGATTGGTCAATTCTACGAGATCTATATCTTGCGTTTGCGCTTGCGATCAATGTAGAACAGGGTTTAACGGTTAGGGCAATTATAAACCAACCCTAAACCCGTTTTCTGGCAGAAGATATTAAAGACGGACCACAGTGAATTTTATGTTCACAAAAGCGCGACGACAAGTAACGTTAGTGGCGCGCCATCTACAATTACAAGAAACGTGCTCTCAACGTGCGATGAGTTGCATTTGCTCGTGGCTAGATGGCGTCGCACTTCCAAAATTTCACAATCGCATAATTTTTAAACCGCGGTTTCCGCGGTCATGTGCGTTTTCTTCGATCAAGTAGTGACAATCGCAAATATTTTTAAATGTGTATTTACATCAATTTTGTATTACTGGCTTATTTACAGAAAACTTCCGTCGAAGATTTCAAAATTTGCGCCACTGAAAATAAATTTTGGAAATTCTTTATTTGTTATAGCGACAGATATCAAATGATATTTTTTACTCGATTTTAGAATATATTCTATTCTCAGAGAGTTAACAATGTGCAATAACGGTTCAAAGTATGTTTGTTAATTGTGTATTGTTGCGTGTATAATCGTGTATATCGCTTGTGAAACAATTTATACGGTGTACATGGGCGTCCGGAGAGGGAGGGGGGCAAACCCGACATTTACCTCCTTCCTGAAGAGGCAAGTTTTTTTTCACAAAGTGTGGTTTTTTATCTTGAAACAAGTTTGAAATTCCTGGTTAACAAATTAAATCATACATCTATTCCTGCAAACTCTCTGTACAATAAAAACGTTTCTGTAAAATTCGTAATTTTTGGAATGGAAAAAATGCTCCGCCCTTTCCTGAAAAAAATTCTGCGCCCATGACAGTATAGAAACACATACGTACATCTAAACCGGCATCTATACGACGTTATGTACATATTTTGATAACACAAGCTGATTTGATGTGAACTATATATAGTATACATTTTATATATTGTAAGACAATGAAATTCTAGAATAATTGATATAACAAGAAAGTGTCGGAAGCACTTTTAATAACATAAGAAATAATTTCTTTTTTGTCCGCGTTTAATGCTACGCGCGTTTTTTTTTTTCCACGTGTCGCATATTATCCCCGAAGGTGACATCGCGCGAAGGAGAGGTCGGGATTATAAAGAAGCACCGCGTTGCGGCGATAAGAAACGCTGTCGCGGCGAGAACGATAGTTTTTTCGTATATATGTGTGTGTGTCGGTTATGTGGGTGTATGCGTGTGTGTGTCGGAGACCACCCGTTGCAGCAGCAGCGGCTTGCGAGGGCGGTCTGACGTAACGTCGCGTTACGTCAGACTAGTATACTATAGGTAGTGCGCTATAGAGCACGACCGGGAGAGGGTGGGGATAGTTCACGCGAGGGGAATCAACGAGGGGTTGACGGGGTGGCCGGAGGGAGTCTGGTACGTCAATAGGAGAATCCCTCGGTCGCCGGGATAGGGAAACAAACCCCTAAGTGGGGAGCAGCTCGTAAAAGCTCTCTCTCTCTCAGTCTAGGAACGCGAGAGGGGTAAACCCCTTTTTTTCTATTTTTTACAAATTTGCGACAACGATCACACACATACATACACACGCAACGCGATTTCCGCGAATCGTACAGGTTCGAGCGATATATCGTCTTTTCATCGAGGTCGTAAGGCATCGCTATGTGTTTAGAAGTGGTTTTCCGGGAAAAGCTTAGTTTCTCTCTCTCTCTCTCTTTCTCTTCTACTTCTAGTATTCGATAATATCTGCAGGGTCGTCGTTTCCATAAATATATCGCGGTTATAGTTGTGACTAAAGTTAGAAATGCCGTTTAGAGAAGAAACAAAAACAGAAAGGAAAACGGAAAGTCAGTGAGGAAACCAAACGTAATTATGTAAAACTGAAGTTTTATGGGAATCAATTGCGTAAAGAAAGAGAGAGAGAGAGAGAGAGAGAGAAAAAAGAAGCGGATAGGTGATATCGTTAGCTCTCTCTCGATTTTTATCTAAATTTATTCCTCTCCCCCTTTTTCTCGATCTATATAGTCTATATAGTTAGACTATAAATACAGTAATCGCACATGTAACTATATAACGTGGAAATATGAACGACGATATAGAGCAACCGGACTTAATTTGAATCGCTCGTCCTCTTCTCTCTGTAACAGCCATAGTGTACATGCACCGGAATCTATGGATCTCCTTGATTTTGTAGCGGTAGCCCGTGCTACACGCGCGTCACGTGACAACCGCCCCCGCAACAGTTTCGATATGCATGATTTAGTGGTGTGGCGCTTGGCCGCAGAATAGAGACAAGTTCTGTGTCCATTCACCTATCAGACCCCTGTGTCGCTCTAGGCACATCGGGCATTTAGATACCATAAGTGGTCTGCGGCTACCATTGAGCTCGCACATATCATCCCTCTCCCCTCCGAGTGGGGAGAGGATTCGGAGTCACGACGGGACTAGGGGAGATTGCACGGCGGGAACGGGCGAAAAGGGTGGGGAGACGGAGGGGAGTGAAGGAGAAAGGATGTGTAATTCTTTGGTAGAGGGTGGCGGAGAGTCAGTGACGTACGACAATGTCGACATTATCGCTGACCGTCCAAAAAGAGAGAAACATCGGCGTAAGAGAGAGAGAGAGTTGCGAAAAATTGCACATTCCAACCAGAGGGAATACGTATGACGTTCTTTCTGATCTTTTTATGATCTTTGAAAAGCGCCGATAAAAATTGTTCACGGCTGCTCTTATATATCTTGCAATATCTATTTTGTTGCTGATTCTTTCTGTTTGATTCGCAAATTCAAATGTAACAGTTCTGTGATGACACAGAAAAGAGATAATGCGAATCGAATTATCACTTTTCGTGAAATTTACGTGTCGCACACAGATGCAATATAAGCATCGTAAATATTGCATTGTGTTTTATAGATTGAAATTGTGCACGAGTTCATATTTCATAAATGCGAAATATACATTCGCTTCGCGCGTAGAACGCGAAGGTATTATAAAATTCATGAGTTATTTCTCTTTCTCCCTTGTGTAATAAATTTTAAGAAAACATAACATTGTTCCCTCTCGTTCGCAAACTAACTAATTTATCGAGTTTAAACGAGCAACACAATTTGAGCAGAGATATGCGTTGTATCGCTGTGTGTGAAAAACTTCTGGCGAATTTTCGCGGAATTCCGCCACTGCAATTGTCGGAACGGGGTGGAATAAGGCTAGGAACGTCACGATCGGCGGAAGAGCCCCAGCGGTTATAGCAAGGCTGAACCGTGCGCTTAAATATAGAAAGTTGCCAGGGGGGTGTCTAACGGACGCAGTTTCATCTTCGCGGAATAGCGGGATTGCGAAATGAAATTATTTATATCCCTCCTACGTAAATGTAAATTAACACTGTGCTGTGAGAAACAATATACATATATTTGCAATTGACAATAAATTAATTGCGATTTCTTGCCTCGTCGAAATTTCTCGTCTCACATTTTTTTTTCTGTTGCGTTAAAAATAATGTATTTTTAACAGAACACAAAATTACATTATTTTTGTTGTGTTAAAAATATATTATTCGTTAAAACTTTTATTTGCGGCGAAAAACTTTGCGATCCCACACACGAGCGTCATTAAATATCACTTTAACTGATAAAATTATACACGCGATAACTTAGACATAATGTACAAAATTATGTGTGTTCACACATTTTCCATATACATAAAAAATATAATAATAATACACACACACACACACACACACACGTATATACATAATTGGAGTTGAAACCTTTTCGCCCACGCGACGTTCCTGCTTAGTGGGGAGTGCCGCGTCAAGGGCGAGCATGTTCAGTGGGGATGATGCGAACGGGTAGGGATTGAGTCGCCGTCGACCAGAGCGCAAGAGGGAGACGCCAGCGTGAGAGGTAGAGAGTGTAACCCCACGGTCGCACCGTCACCCGTGCGTCGTCGTACCTTAAAATGTGACTCGGGGTTAGCGCGCACACACACACACACACACATATATACACTACACGGGATAGGCTGAGTGCGAGTGTAGAAAGATTAGCCGTGTGTGCATCGCGCGAGAACATACTATTCGTTTAGTTTTTAGACAAAACGCGGTGATACACCGAGTGAAGCATAAGGGGTCGTCGCGGGGGCGTGCAACGGGGTCTCGTGAAGAAAGGTAGACAAAGAGAAAGAGAGAGAGAGATAGAGAGAGAGAGAGATAGAGAGAGAGAGAGAGAGAGAGAAAGAGAGAGAAAGAGCGATAGAACCACAGGGAAAAAAATCAACGAGACAGACAGATGATACGGGGGTGACCTGAGTGAGATCAGACGCTCGATCGTACTGGTGATCGTGCGAAGAACTTTTCGACAAACGCCGCGTGACCTCGCAGTTTCGGGGACCGTCGCTGAGGAACGAATACATATTATTTTATCCTAGTTACACAGGGCGAAAGAGGGGAGGGGGAAAAAAAAAGAGAGAAGACAAGAGTGTCACTGACAAATAGGTGGAGAGTAGCTCGAAAGAAGGACCGACGCGCGACCAGAGGAGAAGATGTCGTGAAGATACATGAAGAAAGAAGGAAAACGAGTGACAGAGAGAGAGAGAGATAGAGATAGATAGATAGAGAGAGAGAGAGAGAGAGATAGAGATAGATAGATAGATAGAGAGAGAGAGAGAGAAAAAACGTGTGAATTTCATTGAGTGATGCATATACAAAGATACACGTAGGTATATATATACACACCCACATACACACATTGCACATGTGTACACATGCGCAACGCGAAAACGTGTGAGTGTACTTGGCTCGAGGATTGTCCCCGTCGTGTCGTCGTTTTTGTTGCCGTCATCGCGGATACATCTTCTTCCGACTTAAAATTCCGGGAGATATAAGTGAGAGAGCTCGAGAGAGAATTCCGGAAGTGACTGACGCAGCGAGACCTCGAGAGATATATAATTCCTTGCCGCGAATGATCGTCGTCGCGCAACGGTTACGTTCCGCCGTCGCCGTTGTCCGTCGTGCATTACTTTTCTCGTGAACTGTGATTTTTTTGTGCCGTTCGCTGACGAGGTAGGAAAGAGGAGTCATCTGCGACGGCAGGATTAGATACGAACAAGGTGAGTTTGATTTGACTTTTCGGGATATCCGCTGCCGCCGCCGCCGTCTGACTCGAGCTTGACGTTTTTTACTCGCGTGGCAAATAATTGCACAGTTAGCAATAGACTGATTTAACCGAAGCCCAATTGACGACGGAAAACCGACAGGTTGACGAATCCCACCAGGTTCAATCGTGCGCAAATTACACATCTCAAGTTACATCTCGCGCTAATAATATGCCAAAAGATTAAATTTGTTTGCAATTTTCGAGAGTTTTTCGCTTACTCTCGTGCGAATTATTGCACTCGCGCGATATCTTCGCGCGATGCGTTAAAATTCGCCAATGTTTTCTCGTTTAATTATTGACTCGATACGTTTTTTTGAATTCACGCTAAATATTACTTTGTGCCCCTCCCCCTCCCCTTTCCCCCCTCCCAAAAATAAATAACGTTTGAACAATTGCGTAACTTTTGCGTAAAGAGAATTAATGAATGCTGACGCGCATTTTTTTCAGTCGGCGGAAAAATTGTTCAATCTCAAAAATTTTTGCATTTTACATTTTATTGTAGCATTTATTTGTATTTATGCATATAGTAAATATTTTTTGCACGCGCGAGAATATTTCTACAAAATTTTGTTATATTATTGAAAACGCGTATATTCGAATAATTTTTCACAAACATGCAAAACTTGACAGCATCGTGTAACGTGTGTTACATAATTGTGGTGTACATACTCCTAAACGGAGAGTGTACAACTTGACTTGATCTGGATTTGACAATTCAGCGCGTTGTGAAAATTACAGAACATTCTGTACACACACGCAGAAGAGACAAACATGTTTTGTGTTGTTTGTTTTTTTTTTTTTTCGCAACACACAGCCTTAAAGTGTATCGGTACTATTAGATACCGAGCGGAAGCCTCGCCGGTGCATCATCGCTTCTTATTTTCGCATCGGAAAAAAAACTATTTCTCTCGGCGGCTCAAGCGTGTAATGGTTTTCATGCTAGGGTGAGACGTCTGAGAAAATACCGAGCGCACATGTGTCGAGGCACACATCTCGCCTTTATTCCATTCGCGCGATCGTATTTCAACACGCGAAACGAATTATTATTTTTTTCTTCTCGACGCAACTCTTGTGACAGATTCGATAGTCGATGCGTATTGTTAAATCTGCGTGATTGCAACGCGCACAACAACAACACACAGTATAAGTCGCGACATTTTCTCTTTGCGAGATAGGCTTTTTATCACACGTACGTATTTTTGTATTTTCCGGAATGACCGATCGTGCTTCCGGATTGCGCACCGAAATATCCGGATATTCGGCAAAACGCGCGCCGCTTTAAGTATTCTCTTTTGCAAATGCGAATTCGCATTTGCGACACTGTACGTGTGTGTATTGCGCGTAGGAGATTTCAATCGAACACACACACTCTTTACCTGCGAAAATAAATTATTCATGGTATACCACAAACACGGTGTGATATTTGTAAAAACACGCAACATTTGCTTCTAAACATCAGAGCGTGGGGGAAGAAGAATGGGCGCAGCAACACCGAGAAGAGCACAGCGCGGAATTATTTCGCGCTAACTAAAACCCGCATATCCCAACTCAGTGATTTCAATAAAATAATGCATGTATATGTATGTATATATATATGCATTAATGAATTTAGCGCGCGATCGGACGCACAACATCCACAGTTAATACTTAATCTTCAATTTGTTTTTACGTGACATGAAATCAAACGTACGAGCGATATATATTTTGAATATTTTATTCCTCAAGTTAAATTTAGTTAACGCGTCACGGATTTAATTTAACAACACGTTTCGCAACTTTGTTATTTGAGAAATTTCAAATCGCTCACCCGAGCGTTCGAGTATCTTGAAAAACTCGAACCGTTGCACAAAAATCACGATTGTTCGATATAAAATTAACTTTAAGTACGCGTGTACGCGCACTTGTGTACGCTTTTGAAGATACATCAGAAAAGTAATTGCGCGCGCGCGATAACAGTAATTTAAAAAAAAAACAACTTTGAAAATTTTTATCGCGGAGATTCAATCGCGCGCGTTTTGATAACGATCGATTCGAACTCGAAGAGAAACAACTCGATTTTTATCGGTATATGTTTGCGTTCGCCGCGCGTTTCACTCGCCTAATTTTACGCCTGTACTACTTTCTTTCTCTCGACATTATATATCGCCTGCCACTGCGAATGGCTGACTTTCATCACTGATAAGACGCGGTTTCGCGCAAGCTCACTTGGGGATCGCGAAATCTCACGTCCGTTCACCTTTCATATGTAAAATATTGACACAAGTTCGAAGCGGATACGTTGTCCAACATGTGTAAGCGTCACAGAATACGATGACATGTTAAAATTACGGAGGTGATATCACAAATTCCGTCCCACGTGTATGACGTGTACCATTTCTGTATTGTCTCGGAAACAACGAGTTATTTATTTCGGACGATGAAAACTTTTGCGCGATGTTTGTTTTTATCACACAAACTAACGTCGATAAAAATTATATATATACAGGGTGTCCCAGAATTGGTTTAACATCGCTCGTACACAGGTAGAAGGAATAAAACTAAGGTGAAAAGTCCTATACCATTTTGCTAGATTCGCGATAGTTACCGAGATTTTAATTAACAAAGATCCGCGAATAAGCGTGCATCGGGCTGTCTTACGCGCGTAG